TTCTTCTATTCGGTTCAGTTAATTTACTCAGTTAACTAATATCTTAAACAGATATCACAGATTATTTAGATGGAAAGTGTTAATGGTTTACTCATACATAGTTAGATACTGTTATCAAAGTGGAACTGGTGTTGAAAAGAACAAATATATGGCATTCATTCATTACAAAAAATAAGCTGAAATGGAAGGTTCTAGTACAAAATTGTTTTTAAAAATTTTTTTCACAACTGCAATATTTCAAAATAGCTCTTATTTACGTCTAATCCTAGTTCATTGATGTATAGACAAATAAAGATTATAGCTCTTACATAATAAATGTATCTTACTATAAAAAAGTTTTGTAATGCCTAATTCGCTATACTGTATAAAAAAAAAAGGTAGATTTTTCAATTTACATGTTAATGCTGGCAGGATCACGTGCATTATCTGGCCGGCTTTAGTATCTTATATTTGTAACTTACATAGTGGCATGTAACTTATGATGTAAGTTACGATATAAGTTACATTGTCAGGTAAGTTAACACAACCCTAATTACGTGAGTCAATAGGTAATATTGAGGAATTTTTCAATGTACCTCAACCTGAGATTCAGCAAGATATTATAAACTCAATAGCAAACCCGGATATTTCTCAGAGAAATCGTACACTATCTGAGGCTAAAAGAAAAAAAACAATTTTTAATAATACCGCATCTGAGTCCTCGTCTGAATCTTTATCCTTATCTGAGTCTGGGTCCAACTCTGAATGGGATAAAAGCAATTAGTAATTATATAGGTCAATGATATCCTCAACCTCACTATTTTCTTGTTTAGGTGCTGGGGTATTTGGTCTGTCATTCATTATACCATAATGTTCAACTGATAAAGCATGATCTATTTTATGTCTACATGCCAATTGCCGTAAACATTGATGGCGGGAATCATTCTTACCTCTATGTACTTTGGAAGCATGATCGGCACCTATTTTTCTTAATATATATGAGGTAATTCTATGGAGTTGGTTTGCATATATAACTTTACTTAAAAAATATCTAATAAGTTTAATTATTCTAAAGCAGGTCCAAAGCGGTAAAGCTGGGTTATAGTGAATGAATAAATAAGTTATAAACTAATCTAAATACTCTCATATAAGTTATAGATATCCTCAATTTTAGAAGTATTCTTATTAATTGTCTTGGGTGTGAGAGCTAGGACTTCAGGTTCAGGTTTTGGATCTGCGTCAAGGTCAGAATTAGAAGTATCACCCTCAGCATAATACATTTCAGAATTATGATGATCCATCTTATGCCTCATTGCAACTCTGCTAAGGAATTCGAGATGTTGCGAAGTTGGATTTTGACTATCATGAACTCTAGAAGCATGTTTACCTCCAATTTTCTTAATCTTTTGGCTGTAATACCATATGATTTTAAAATTTTACTAAATACTCCTATATTGCGTTTTCCATTAATACTATAGACAGGATTGCATAACTTTCTAGTTGCTATTGCATTTTGAATCCAGGTAAGCAATTCTTTCGCACGTTCTGGATTCTTTTTCATGGATAGAAATTGCCGAGGTTTGAAATTATTTTTTACTTCTCCTTTATTTTTAATATACCTGATACAATACCAAGAATAACTAGGCTTGTACCATTTAGGAGGATTCGATTCACTGGGTTTATAATAGATAATACAAAGAGTGACAACTTCGGCGGGTCTCATACTCAACATTATAATTATATCTGC